TTCGAATCGAGCTTCGTTCAGATCTCTACCCAATCAGGGTACGCCGGCGCAACGGCCCGCGCGCCAACAACCGGCCATCTTGTGTAACGAGGGGCACGCCAAGCCTCATTCTACCTCGAACCTCCGACCAGTGCGGACCTCTCTGTTTATTGTGTGCGACAGTGTGCTTATGTGAATAGACTCAGTATTCGAATATTGTGTCCAATCATTCAAGTCAAACTTATCTCAGTGTGACTGTGGAAAAATCTTACTAAATTGATCATTGTGTCCTTTGCCTTTGGAAACTGCAGAGGGTCATTTCGGAGATAATTCGTGTGTGTTTTGGAAAGTTATCTGTGAAGACAAATTACGATTGAAAAGTGGAAACGAGACCGGCCAGGATTTTTACCATCGAGAATTATGGCGTCCGGTATGCGATGCTACGCAATTCGGCTTTAAAGTGAATACAGTACAATTTTGCGTTGTTCTTTAGGATTTAATTTTGGTCAGGCAACCCCAGCAGCGAAACCCGCGGGATTTACGTTCGGATCTTCGTCCGCAGCCCCCGCGGCCGCTACGCAAGCCCCTGCTGCAACCCCCTCTGCCGGTTCAAGCTTTTCATTCGGTCTTGGAGGAGCGACGAGTTCCACGCAACCAGCAACTGGCAGCTCGACGATGGGATTTTCTTTCGGCTCGAATTTAGGCGGTGTGGCATCAACGACCGCGCCTGCCGCAGCCCCATTATCATTCGCGACCACTACGACTCCCGCTCCATCTTTTGGGAGTTTCGGTGCTGCCACTGCGGCACCAACAACTTCAGGTATTGCTGCGTGATACTGCGATTCCTTTGATGAACGACGTTACAGCATATCGGTTGAATTGCGTTTCTCTCTGCCGTAGGAGGGCTTCCCTTCGCCTCATCGATTCCGTCTAGCAGTAGCGGCGCAGTCACTACGACAACACCTGCGACAGGTTTGTGGGATTTTTCTATTTTAATGTGCGATCCGTAAGTTTTACGATTTATGGATTTTTGTCAGGAATTTCCTCCGGGATTCCATCTGCTGCTCCGTCTGCTGGTGAGTACTGTAATTTTATTTTCGCTGCCTTATTGGGTACTGAAATGTGTTGATTTTCAGGACTATCGTTCGGGACTCCTGCGGC